GGTCCAATCCAATCCAATAAATACTCTGGACTATTAAGCCTGGACTGGTTCAGTTCAATTGGCTTATTGGTCTGTCCAATTCATCCAAATTGATTTTGATTTGGACGGATCCAACCCAAAATTGGTTAATTGACTCTCCACTTTGTTGTTAAGATTTCAGGGTTTTATAAATTAAACCCTTCAATGAAATATGATTGATAATCTTAGAAAACCTTAGGAAAACAACTAAGACAGATTTAGTTTCACAGATGTTTTTATCACCGTTGCCTTGCCAACTCAGTTCTAGCCCAGGTTCAGTCTTTTGAATGGTTTCATAGGCAAAATCTAAAGCTTTCATTCTTTAGCAACCTCCCATTTACCGAAGGCTGTGATTTCATGGTTTCAGAAGGCATAACTGATTTCACATCAAACTACCCCAAAATGTTCATGATATCAACTTTATGAATCAACTTTGTGAGAAGCACTTGAAGTAATTGTTCAAACTTCAAAGGTTGAGCCAAGCTACAACAATCATTCTTGTTTCAAAATGATTTTGAAGTATAATAAAGGATAAAAGTGTATTTTATCAATTCTGTCAAACACAATGGCATCTCATTCAGATAGGGGAGGTGTAAGTAGTTAAACATGGACTGTACTAGGGGTAAGCATCCATTATGGTGAAGATAAACATGGACTGTGCTAGGGGTAAGCATTTGGTTTATTTGGCTCACAAAGTGTACCAAACTGAAACTGCATTACTGAAAAACCAAAACTGAACAAAATTACTAAAAAAACAAAAAAATCGAAAACCAAAATTTTTGATTCTCTTTTCGGTTAAAATTAAATTTTATTAATATTATACTAATACATATTATATTAGTATAATATTAGTGAAAGGGCTGGTTCAGGGGGGTTTTCTAGAAGGCTTTACAGTAGGTAACGAGAGGGTGGAGGTTAGTTTACTGCAGTATGCTGATGACACTTTGATCTTCTGTGATGCATCGCAAGAGCAACTCTATTTTGTGATGTCAGTACTAAAATGGTTTGAAGTAGTCTCGGGCCTGAAAGTTAACTTAAGCAAAACTGAGTTAGTGGCTGTGGGAAAGGTGTAGGCTGGAAAATTGGGCAGATTTGTGGGGATGTAAGGTGGGAAAGTTGCCTCTAAAATATCTGGGCATGCCCCTAGGTGCTAAATGTAATCCCAAAACAATCTAGGAGCCAATTATTGAAAGACTTGAAAAGAAGCTAGTATCTTGGAAAACCAAGTATCTTTCTTATAGAGACAAGGTTACCCTGGTGAAAAGTGTTTTATCCTCCCTCCCGATGTATCTGCTATCCTTGTACCCAATCCCGGCAGGAATGGCTACTATTATCGAAAAGAAGATGAGGGATTTCCTCTGAAGAGGTTGGAAAGTGCAGAAATACCACTTGATGAACTGAAACAAGGTATGTCAACCCAAAGCTGTAGGGGGCTTGGTTAGAAGGGTATAAAGCATCAATACTGCTCTGCTGGGGAAGTGATTTTGGAGATTTGGGGAAAGTCAAGGAGGGCTGTGGAAAAGGGTGGTGCAGGCCAAGTATAGTGTTAGAAATATGGGGTGGGATCCAAGAACTTCAAATCATCCTATGGATGCTTAGTTTGGAAAGGTATTGAGAAATATTATCATTGGCTTGCAAAATGTGTGAAATTCAAAGTAGGAAATGGGGAGAGGGTCAAATTTTGGAAGGAAGTTTGGTGTGGGGAGAGACCATTGAACGAGAGGTTCCCTGTTTTATTTGAAGTTGCAGCAAACAAGGAAGCTAAGGTTGCTAAAAGTTTGCAAATCCAAGATGATAATGTGGTTTGGATCCCACAATTCAAGAGGAATCTAAATGATTGGGAAGTAGAGGAGTGGATGGAACTTCTGCAACTCCTTTACAGTACTCAAGTGGAGGCAACAAGGACTGATAGTAGAATCTGGAGGTGGGAGAAGACAGGAAAGTTTACAGTCAAATCCTTTTACAAGGCTTTGGATAGTTCAGGACTTTCAGCTCCAACCCACATCATTTGGAGTAAAAATGTGCCTTCAAAGATTTCATTTTTTTTTTTTTGGTATGGACGGCTTACCTCAACAAAACACTTACAAGGGATAACCTCTCTCGTAAAGGTGCTCTTCTGGACTCTAAATAGCCGTGTCCTATGTGAAGGACATCTAGAAACAGTGAATCATCTATTACTTCACTGCAAATTTTCTTCAGAGATCTGGAACAGAATCTCACAATTATTTGAAGTGAAAAGTTGCTGCCCAAGTTCAGTACTGGATTTTGTAAAAGGTGGGAGAGTGGAGGGCTTGAGTAAAAGAGGAAGATTAGTCTGGAATTTAACCCCAAAAGTGGTTTTTTGGTGTCTGTGGCAAGAAAGAAAGAATTGAGTTTTCAAAAGTAAGACAACTTCTGTTGACTCCATTTTTTAGAAAATTGTGGGAAAGATGTTATCTTGGTTGTTTGTGTTAGACAATGTATGCCCTTAGCTCCAATCGGATTGATGTACATTATGACATTTATTGTAAATGAATAAAGTACATATTTGATTCATGTTATAGTGGTGTGTTTCTGTGTAATACCCTTAAACTGGATACTTAATGAGACTCGTGTTAGTTTAGAATGTTCACAACC